TGTGTAGGTGGGGCCTCAACCTGATTTTTTAAACTTTTTCCAAGAGACCCCAATTTGCACTCAGGGAAGAGAACTGTTGCTCTATGAACACCCTCATCATCTTAAAGATCCTAGTCCAGATTACCACCAAGCCAGAATCATTTTTTAAAATTTTAAATGGGGAAGATCAAGGAGTGTCTGAGGGCATGCAGGGTCAACAGAGGTGCCCTAGGACAATGCTCTGTCTTCTGTAGCAATGTGTGACTAGCCTGTTAACATGGGGAAACTGAGGCATGGTGCTGCGCCTGAGGTGTTGATGGTACCAGCTCATGGTTTCCATTAGAATCCAAGGGTCCAATAAACACTTGGAAAATTTCGATGAATTTATTTAAACATCCTCACTCTCTGTTTTTGTCTTGTTTTGTTTTGTTTTGTAAGACAGAGTCACACTCTATTGCATGGGCTAGAGTGCAGTGACACAATCTTGGCTCCCTGCAACCTCCACCTCCTGGGCTCAAGCGATTCTCCTGCCTCAGTTCCCAAGTAGCTGAGATTACAGATGCACGTCACCATGCCCAGATAATTTTTTGTCTTTTTAGTAGAGACGGGGTTTCACCGTGTTGGCCAGCCTGCTCTCAAACTCCTGGCCTCAAGTGATCATCCACCTCAGCCTCCCAAAGTGCTGGGATTACAGTTGTGAGCCACCGCACCCAGCCCACTGTCTGTCTTAAACCCAAATAAGAGTGTTATTCAGAAATTCAGTTCAGGTTTACCGAACCCCCGCTATGTAGCAGATCCAGTGTTGACGCCAGAGATACCACACGTATCTCCCTCATCCACAGAGCTTACAACCGGGAGCTGGTGGGTGTAGGGGCCAGACATTCAACAGAGTTAACACACAAATACATGCTGCGGGTTACTAATTCTTAAAACAATTATTTATTTCTTCCTCCCTGATTTGCCTCAGACTCCGCCAAATCTAACGTGAAGGCCCAGTGTTCAGTGTGCCTCTTGCCCTGCATGTTTTGGGGCCTCCCTTAGCTCTGAAGGCAGGGAATCCCAGCTCAAACTCACCTAGCAACTGTGTAGCTTTGAGCGTTTCTTAACTTTTGTGCTTCAAGGAAATCACAAAAAGTGCTCAATAGTTCTCTCCACATAGATCTTTTTTTAGATTTATTTCTAGGCTCTTGAGTTTTTTGTTACTACAGATAAAATCTTAAAGTAATATTTTCTGACTGTTGGCTGTTAGTATATGTAAACATAACTTAGTTCTGGTATACCGGTTTTTAACACTTCAATATGTTACCATTAAGTATATTAGCTATTGATATGGTTTGGCTGTGTTCTCATGCAAATCTCATTTTGAATTGTAGCTCCCATAATCCCCACGTTATGGGAGGGACCCAGTAGGAGGTAACTGAATCATGGATGTGGGTTTTTCCCTTGCTTTTCTCACAATAGTGACTAAGTCTCATGAGATCTGATGGTTCTACAGAGGGCAGTTCCCCTGCACAGGCTGTCTTGCCTGCTGCCATGTAGGGCATGCCTTTGCTCCTCCTTTGCCTTCTACCATGATTGTGCCTTCCCTGATGATAGTGAGGCGTCCTCAACCATGTGGAATTGTGAGTCCATTAAACCTCTTTTTCTTTATAAATTACCCAGCCTCAGGTATGTCTGTATTACCAGCACAACAACAGACTAATACAGCTATCATCTTTTTTTTTCCTTTTTTTTGAGACAGAGTCTTGCTCTGTCACCCAGGCTGGACATGGAGTGCAGTGGCATGATCGCAGCTCACTGCAACCTCTGCCTCCTGGGTTCAGGTGATTCTCCTGCCTCAGCCTCCCGAGTAGTTGGGACTACAGGCGTGTGCCACCATGCCCAGCTAATTTTTGTAATTTTAGTAGAGGCGGGGTTTCACCATGTTGGCCAGGATGGTCTTGATCTCTTGACCACGTGATCTGCCCGCCTCCGCCTCCCAAAGTGCTCAGATTACACGCGTGAGCCACGGTGCCCAGCCTCTTTTTCTTTATAAATTACCCAGTCTCAGATATGTCTTTATTAGCAGCATGACAACAGACTAATACAGCTATCATCTTTTTTTTCTTTTTTGATATATAATCTTCATCAAATTAAGAAATTTCCTTTCTCATCCCAGTTCACTTAGAACATTGGTGGGTGCTGGCTCTTATCAAGTGATCTTTCGGCAGCTATTGAGATGATCAGTGAATTTTCCCTTTTAATCTATTCTTGTGGTGCATCACCACTGGTGATTTTCAAATATTGAAACCATTCTTGGATCTAAAAGATGAAGCCAACCTGGTAATGACATTTTACTCAGTAAAACATTTAATATATTGTTAGAATCTCTTTGTTGAGTGCTTTTCCTTCTATGCACATTTTTTGAGATTGGCCTGTAATTGAGTTCTCTTGTACTGTCCTCAAGTTTTGGAAATTTCAAGATGATGCTATTCTCGTAAAATGAGTCAGAGAGTGTCCCATATTTTTCCATTCTTTGAAATAGTTTGTATATTATTGAAATAATTTCCTTTTTAAATGTGAGATAGAACTTACCAGTGATGCCTTCTGGGCCTACAGTTTCTCTTCTTCCTCTTTCTTCCTTCTTTCTCTTTCTTTCCTCTCTCTCTCTCTCTCTCCCCCCCCCCTCTCTCCCCCTCCCTCCCTCTCCCTCTCTCTCTTTCTCTTTCAACAGAGTTTCACTCTCGTCACCCAGGCTGTAGTGTAATGGTGCCATCTCAGCTCACTGCAGCTTCTGCCTCCGGGGTTCAAGTGATTCTCCTGCCTCACCCCCCAAGTAGCTGGGATTACAGGGATGCAACAACATGCCCAGCTAATATTTTTTATTTTTTAGTGGAGACGGGGTTTCATCATGTTAGCCAGGCTGGTCTTGAACTTCTGACCTCAGGTGATCTGCCCGCCTTGCCCTGCCAAAGTGCTAGGATTACAGGCATGAGCCACTGTGCCTGGTCTTACAGTTTCTTTTGTAAGAAGATGTTTGATCTTCTTACAAAATGCATTTTTTTTTTCTATGGTATGGGACTATTCAGGTTTTCTGTTTTTTTCTTGAGTCTGTTTTAAGTAGCATTCTTGTGAGAGTTATTTTCATTGAATTTTTAGCATTTTGGCAAAAAGTTGCTTCGAATATAATCTTATTGTCTTCCTATAGCCTGCAGCCACCCGCAGTAATGTCACCTTTTTCATTTCTGAGACTGGACTGATCATTTGTGCTTTCTTTTTTCATTGACGATTTCATCACAAGCTAGTAGTCAATGTTATTAGTTTTGTAAAGAAACAATATTTGGCTTTGTTGATTATATCATTTACATGTATGCTATTTCAGTAATTTCTGCTCTTATATTTGCGTGCCCTTGTTAACCTTTCTTTGGATTTCCTTTGCTGTTCTGTTTGTGTCTCCTTGTGAATTCTGTCCTTCCTTTCCCACATACTCACTTCTTTGTCTATACATTTCTGAGCACTGATATCACTTTATGCTACACATTTTTATATGGTACTTTTTTTCTTTTTTTTGAGACGGGGTTTCACTCCATCACCCAGGCTGGAGTCCAGTGGCACAATCTCAGCTCACTGCAAACTCTACCTCCAGGGCTTGAGTGATTCTCCCACCTCAACCTCCTGAGTAGCTGAGGCTACAGACACATGCCACCACACCTGGCTAAATTTGTGTGTGTGTGTGTGTGTGTGTGTGTGCGTGCATTTGTTTCTGTAGAGATAGGGTTTTGTCATGTTGCCCAGGCTAGTCTCAAGCTCATGGACTCAAGTGATCTGCCCACCTCGGCCCCCCAAAGTTTGGGGACAACAGGTGTGAGCCACCACACCTGGCCTGTGGTACTTTCTTAGTAGTGGGAAATATTTCTAATTTCCATTATGATTTCTTCATTGACACATGGGTTATTTTGGCAGCGTAATTCTCATTTTTGAATATGTAAGAATTTCTGGTTATAATTTACTTCTAGCCTAAAAGGTAAAAGTATTGTCAGAGAACATACCCTATATAATTTCAATATTTTAAATTTACTGTAGGGCTTATAATATGGTCAATTTTTATAAATGTCCTGTGTATGCTTCAAAAGAATGTGTGTTAAGTAGTCCCACGGCACACTGTTTTTGTTTATTTGTTTGAGATGGAGTTTCACTCTTCACCCAGGCTGCAGTGCAGTGACGTGATCTCGGCTCACTGCAACCTCCGCCTCCCGCATTCAAGAGATTCTTGTGTCTCAGCCTCCCAAGTAGCTGGGATTACAGGTGCATGCCACCATGCCCGGCTAATTTTTGTATTTTTTGTAGAGACAGGGTTTCACTGTGTTGGCCAGGCTGGTCTCAAACTCCTGGCCTCAAATGATCCATCTGCCTCGGCCTCTCAAAGTGCTGGGATTAGATGTGTGAGCCACTGCGCCCGGCCCCATGGTGCACTCTCATGTATGGGCGTCAATCAGGCCAATAATGTTAAGGAGCCTGTTCCAATCTTCTACATCCCTCCTGATTTGTTCTATCAATTTCTGAGAAAGATATGCTAAAACCTCCCAAATATGATTGTGAATATATGTGTTTCTCCTTTTAGTTCTTTACATGTTGAGGCCAGCAGAGGAAAAAATGGAATGATTTTTTAAACCCACAACAGTGTTAATACAAAATAAGGCAGGAAAGAGAAAGCCCCTCAGAAGAGGTGGGACAAACAAAAAGCACAAAGCAAGAAGGTCTGTTCAAGCCTAAACGGATCCGTCATTCGACTACATTTAAATGGATTATGGGCTCCCAGCGAAGAGCAAAGTTTATCAAGATGGTTTATGAGATAAAATCTGTAGGTTCTGCATAGGAGCCACATCCAGAACACAAATCCACACAAAGGGCAACAGCATGCCTGGTGCTCTTGACCAAGAACCCTCAGAGGGAACAGTGAACTGTGGTCCTTGCACCCCCCATGCCAGCCTCCCTTTCATTAGGTTTCCTGGGGATGGCAGGAAATCATAGGGACATGAGGAGCCCATTCATTTGTATTTTGAAGCAGAACCTTCACATGTTGCTGCCTGCTGGGGGACTCTGACTGGCACACTGGGAAGGTTGCGCCCAGGTCAGCCAGGACCTGTTTGGCCAGCCACCCTCCAGGATGGGGTGAGCAGACCTGGAGCCTTCTCTGTCCCCAATCCCAACCCCTGGAACTCCTTTGGGTTCAAAAAGGTCCTTCAGTTTCACCCATCAAAGCGACCATATTTGCTCTTCCAAGCCACAACATACAGTTCTTAAAGGAGACGGGCACAGTATTGAAGACCTACACACATCTAGATTTCCCACTGAATCACTGATGTTAGAAGGCGTTTCAGTGACTGCGGACAGATCCTGTGTGTGCCCCAGGAGTCCTGTGGGAATTCCCCCGACCCTCCCTGGCACAGTCTCGAATGTTCTAGAGGATGCCTGGGAGAGGAGGCAGCATGCTGGTGGCACAGCCAGCCCCAGCCCGATGTGGGCCCATGGAGCTCCCTTTTACAGGAGTCAGAGCCTTCCTCAGCAACTCACTTCTTTAATTTCTGAATCCACAGGGTAAGTCTAGCTTAGACCAAGGAGCCGAGTTCTCCCAGATGAAAACTGTGCCAATATTTACTCCAAGAAAGAAAGAGCCCAGCCTTTCGTGGCTCCTGGGATCAGGAATGGCTGGTGGTCAGAAGGACGTGCTCTCCCAGCTGCTCTGTGTGGGACACAGACCTAGACCTAGAAGCCGGCTTCTGTGGGAGGGACGTGGCTGCAGACCATGGGACTTCTTACCACTTACACCTTACAATCCATATTCTTAGAACAATTTCAAACTTATACAGTTCAACTGGATCTGGACCACCTAGACCAGGCTGTCCTGAATACCCGCATCTGTCCTAGCAGGCAAAGGCCAGGAGGGGGCATCAGTGCTGGCACTAGTGAGGCTCAAGCTCTCTTCCCAGCTCTGCTGGTTGGTCTGCCTAACTGTGACAGCACCACACTCATTTGTTCATTTGTGCCTGTCAGCTAGGGCTTGTGTGATGGCTGTTTGTGAAGCCAGCAAAGCAAAACCACCTGAATGTGCCACACCTTAAGGTGGTCCCTCTCCCATTGAGCCGACAGCCCAGTGGCCCCGGCTTAGAAGTGAAAGGAGAGAATGGGATACAGGCAGGCAGGATGGGACTGGGCCAGCTGCAGCAGGGGTGGGCACGAGTCCTCTCCTCACAGCCAGTCAGAACATGGGTGGTTTCTCTTCTCAACTCTCCTGTGAAACTGTGTCCCACCCCTCGCTGTGCCCCTGAAACATGTTCCCTGCCTATCATCATAAGGAGAGCCCCTCAGGCCGGGGGAGCCTAGAGCCTTTCTCTCCCCAATTCCGTGGAAGCCTGGCTGTGAGTGAAGAGCCTCTGCATTTAAACATACTACTTGCATGACCTTAGGATCTGTTTCCAGTCACCTCGGGGCTCACTCTAGACCTGAAAGCATCTTCCCGCCCCTTTGTGATATTCAGTCTTTCATGGGTACTCCCCTCTGCCTAGTGTCCTTGCCCTGCTGCTTCCACAGGGCAGCTAAGGGCAAGGGCTTCAGCTCCCAAGCCCCTTGCTCAGTTGCAGGGCACTTAGGCTCCAGGTGTGTCCCCAGTGGCCCTTTATTTAGGGACACACCGGGCCCTGCAGCCACAAGGCACTGCTCCTGTAGTCAAGGTGGGCAGCTGGCATTGCCCCAGGCCACAGTGCTTGTATCCCAGGCTCCTCAGGGACCTGAAGGCAGGGCCAAGTGTGGCAGCCCACACCAGGCTGGCCCTGCCAGGAAACAGGTGCACACACAGTTCCTGAAGCCGCCTCAGGTCAGATGAGGGATTGGGGCACACAGGTTGCACTTTGCCTGTTGGGAAGATGCTGAGGGAATGACAGCCAGGCCGGTTCCCATGCACCTCCAAGCGCCAGCTGAGGGGACTGTGAGAAGACACATTCCGGTCACCAGCACAGAAGTGGGCTAGCAACACCTGGTCATGCCTTTTCCCAAGACAAACCCAAGACTGGCCCAGTCCTTCCGGTGTGTTATAGGCTGAACCGTGCCCTTCCCCAAGTGTACATGGTGAAGGCCTAATCTCCAGTACCTCTTAATGTGACCTCCCTTGGAGAGGGGTTCTTTAGAGAGGTCGTCAGGTTAAAATGAACTCATTAGGGTGAGTCACAACCCCAAACAACTGCAGCCCTGATATGAAGGGGGAATTTGGAGACAGATGTGTAGAAAACACCATCTGAACAGGAAGAGAGCCATCTATAGGCAAGGAGAGGCCCTGGGCAGATCCCCCCTCTCAGCCCAGAGAAGGAACCGATCCTGACAACACCTGGACTGTAGACTTCTGGCTTCCAGGACAGAGACAGCAAGTGCTGCTGTTGAAGCTGCCCAGTCAGAGGTCCTCTGTGTGGCAGCCACAGGGGACTCACAGAGTATGTGCCCTGGGAGTCCTGTGGGAATTCCCTCGCCCTTCCTGGCACACTCTTGAAAGTTCTCAAGGATGTCTGGGAAAGGCGGCAGCGTGTGGTGGCACAACCAGCCCCGCCTGGCGTGGACCCCCTGGAGCTCCCTTCTACAAGAGGCAGGCCCTTCCTTAGCTACTCACTTCTTTAATTTCAGAATCCACAGGGTTAAGTCCAGCTTAGACCAAGGGGCCGAGTTCTGCCAAATGAAACCTGTGCCCATATTTACTCCAAGAAGGCAAGAGACCAGCCTTTCGTGGCTCCTGGGATCAGGAATGGCTGGTGATTAGGAGGCACTCTCCTGGCTGCTCCAGCTGTGTGGGGCAACCCCTGCATGTGTGGGGCGCACATGGCCTGCGCACAACATACACCTACAAGCTTGGGCGGTTCCAGTGGGAAGGACGGGGAGGGAAGCAGCGTTGGATTGAATCTGAGCCAAGAAGGCCAGACAGAGGCTGAGCAAGTCACCCCCACAGCAGCCTCCCGAGCAAACAGCACCTGGGGTATTTGCACAGTTGGGACAAAGGGCAGGGCTCCCAGCAACAGGAAGAGAGATTGTGTCTCCTGGGAGGGTGGCCTGGGGTGGAGTGACGGGGCTTCCACGACACCACTGTACCCTCAGCAAGAATAAGCAGAGGTGGGGATGAGGAATGCCATTAATGCGCCCCCCACCTTGGGTCCCTGTGCTCCCCGCCCCACAGTTCCTCCTGGAGAGCTCTCGGGACTCCTCCCAGCAGGCTGCTTGGCTCCTTGGGCAGGTCTGGGATCCCGGCTGGTGCCACTCCCGAGTTCGGCACGTCTGCATCCACACTGGTGGCAGGAGAGGCTCCCTGCAGAGGTAAGGCAGCAGGCACTAAAGGAGGAAGGGGGCTCTGGCGGCCCCCGGAATGTCCCAGGAGGGAGTGTGCCGCTGGCGCAGTGTGGCAGCTGGGTGTGGAGGACCGCAGCTGCTGGGAAGGGCTGCGGTGGAGCCCTGGAGCTTCTGCCGGCGGAGCGTCTGAAGGCAGCAGAGGTGCCCGGTGAGTGGTCCCTCTGGAGAGTCCCGGCCGGTCACCAGCCCTGCAGCCCTCTCCCTGGCTGCGCAGAATCTTTGGTTTAGGCCTGGTGGGGCCCTTCTGCCTCCAGTAGGGTAGGTGTCTGTGACCAGGGCCATGAGCCCAGCGAGGTCCCCGAGGGAGGGTCCACATCCAGGAAGCTTGGCCTATCCGCCCAGGGCCTTGGGGGCGCCTCCCCAGCCGATTCACCTGGGTCCTCATGGTGGCCACCTCCTGAGCCAGGCCTGCCAGCGCCGTGGCAAGCCGATCCAGCTTCTCTGCGAGGGCAGCACCAAGGCTGTGCAGCTCCTGCTGTAGGGGCTTCCCACAGGGGCACGGCGGCTGCGGGGACACGGCTGGCAAAGCAGGAGGTGCGGCTTCCAGAGGGGGCAGCTCCGGAGGGGGAGACTCACGGGGCAGCTCAGGTAGGCCCTGGGGGAGCAGCTGCCCATGGGTTTTGGCTAAAACCAGAGCAAGGACCGGTCAGAGTTCCTGGTCTGTAAGGACCTGTCTCTCCCCAGCAGTACCCTGAACTAGGGCGCTCAGGACCCTGCCTCCTCTAAGGCCCTGCTTCCAGAAGGGAAGGAAGGCGAGTCGGGCCTGAGAACACTGATGCCAATGCTTATGACATGAAAACTGGCTACGTCTCCTGGCTGTTCCACAAACTGATAGGGAGGATAACCGCAGGTTGGGGTTTCGTGGTAACCAGGCTTTCCTAGACCCTCTAGGAATTGGGGGGTCTTTGTGTTGTTGATGAGACCACATGGCAGCCCCGTCCTGGGAGTCAGTGAGAAGGGCCCAGACCACCCAGGACAGCATGAGGCCAAGGCCGTGCAGACCATCCAGGAGATGGGCCAGGAAGGCCAGGCCAGCCAAGGGTCTCCTGCACATTTCTTGTGGGGTGACCCTAGGCCACTCCAGTACTCAGTGCTATTGGCTACAGGCAAACCACAAGGGTTCCCACCCCCTTTTGCCTTTACTCTCCCTATTCAGAATTTACAGATTCATAGGAATTTAAGTCATAAAGTCATAAGCTTTTTATATATATATATATATAAGGTCACCTAATCCTTCACCCTAAGTTCCCCTGGAGCTGGTCCCAACCCTGGGCAAACCACTAGGAAGGCTTGGCCAGGCCCCTGCCATTCCCACTCTGCTCAGCCCCAGGCTGGGTGCAGAGATGGTGTCTTCCCCGTTTCTCTGAGCCCCCAGCTATGGCTCTGCCCTTCTCTTTCCAGCACGTTCCAGGGCTTTAAACCCAGGAAAAAGTGAAGACTGGAGTAGGTAAAGGACCCAACCACTGTTTGGTCAAGTTCTTGGCCTGGAGACCCCAGCCAGGACATATACAGAGGACAGGAGGCTGGGTGGCCCCAGGCAGCTCAGAGCTCTCAGCAAAGCAGTGGCGCTGGGACAGAAGCCAACACCCTAAACCAATAAGAGCACCTGCTGCAGGCCACACTGAAAGCTCCTGGTGTGGGGCTGTCCCCGAGGGACCCAGGGCACCAGGTGCCAGCCCCCTGCATGTCTCCACCATGGGTCCGTAGGGGTAGGTGTGTGACATGGAGCCAACGCTCTCACAATGACCGTGGCCAGGTCATCCTGGCCTCAGTTTCCTCACCTATTCTCTAAAGTCCCCTCAAACCCCAAACTTTGATTCATCACTTCTCAGTTTCCACCTCTAAAAGGTGTGTCTGCTTTTATGAAAATCTAACTGGTTCTATAATAAACACTGAAATGAAATATGCAGGCTGAACCTTCCTACCCATGACCCAAAACCTGAAAGGCTATTTTCGCCAAGCTGGGACTCTGGGTCCTGGCCCGTGCAGAGGGAATGGGGGAAGCCACCAGTTCACCTGCAACTCTGGGTCTTCCGTGTCCAGGCTCCAGGCCTCTGGACGCTTCACCAACCCTGGGCCCAGGCCTTTTCTCCAGCCGAGAAACAGGGCTGGGATCCCCAGCTGCACCTGCAGAGAGCACAGAGACCTTGGGGCAGGGAGGCGATCATTTGGCCAGAGCCATTCTGACATACCCTGGAATATCAACCTCTCAGCTTTTAAACAATGGGGAAATGAGATGGAAGACGGACACCCAACCCATGAGGGAGCCTAATTCTGGTGGAAGGGCCAGAAGGGAAGAAGGGAGCCAGCCACCACACTGTGGTCCATGTGTGTGGTGTTCCTGCCCTGTCTGAAGGGGGCTCCGGCAGGAGGCGGCGGCTGGGGAGGAAGCTGGGAGAAAGGGCTCTGATCTTCTGATCTGCGAGTCCTGCCCCAGTGAGACTTCCAAGGGCGTGTGGGGGCATCCTGGTCCACACCCAGCCCACTCTGCCATTTTCCACCAGGCCCACCGGGTAGTGAGGAATGTGGTACAGCCTGGGCCTACAGAGAACAGGGCCAGGGCCTGCAATGGAGCCAGGCAGGAGTTGGGGAGAGCTCCCTCCCCTGGCCATTTCTGGCCTCCTCATCCTCCTCCCCCTCCTCCACCACTGCTTCTCCCTCCTCCTCCCCCTTGTCCTCCAGCACTCCTGAGGGGCCAGGCCAGCAGGTACCCTCTAAACTCTCTTTTCTCCCAGGCAACTGGGACCTGTCTCCTGTCCCACCTTCTGCTTTTCCTGCTGGGAGCAAACAGTGGGTCACAGTGAGACTGAGAAGCAAGGTGGCCTGGGGTAGCAGGCAGCATTTCTAGCTTTCCTAATGCTAGGAAAGACGTCCCCCAGGTGGGGAAATCTCACTTGAGACTTTTGTTGTTGATTGCCAAGTTTTAAAAGCATACACTATTATTGTATAAACACATCCATATCTGTCTACACACAGGTGTGTATATTAGCAAATGTATACGCCGTGTATGTGGCATCAAGCAGGTGGCCCAGACCTCCCTGCAGCTGCTCACCAGCACACCAGCAGCCCTGCCCTTCCTCTTGGACACAGCTCACCCTACAAGGAACTAAAGCACTGCCAATGTACAAGACTCCCTGGCAAGAGCCAGGCAAAGTGACAGGTGGGACTCAGAGGATCCAGTCTGGCCTCCTGGCCCTCTGGGGGATGCATGGGCAGCCCCTCAGGAAACCCCAGGCTCACCTGCACCAAGGCCACTGCAGTATCTGGGCTCTGTTCTCCTGGGGTCTTCACCAGGACTGCTGCCACTGCTGCCAGTGGGAGTCCCACCGGGACATGGGGACAGAGGAACAGGAGGCTTACAGCTGGGAAGGCGGTCCCTCTCTAATACCACAAACAAAGCTGGCATCAGAGTGATGACCAGTGCCCTGGCACACACCCTGCCGTCCTCCCTCCCCGCACAGGCTCACCCTGGAGGAGCGGCCTCCAGAGCTCAGGCTCTGGCCTCGGGTCTTCTCCTTCAGAGCCGCTGAAGCTGGAGCTGGAGCCGGGGCTGGGGCTGGGGCTGGTGCCTGCCACGCAGGCGAAGCGTAAGGGCCGCACAGGCAGGATCCCCCTCAGGGCGCTCTCCAGACAGTGCAGCGGGGAGGGCTTGGGGGCAGGCCCTGGGCAGGGGACCAGAGAGTGCTCTGTCATCAGCCTCAAGAGAGCCAGGCCTCTGCCTTAGTGTCTGGGCACACAGAACCGGCCCCTTTCAGCTCAGCCCACACCCAACATGAGTTCTGGGGGACTCTAAATGGCTCCCTCTCCTGCCATAGAAGTAGGACTAAAGTGAAGCCAGAGCCTGGCCAGGACCCCAGCAGCTTTGGAAAGTCTGCCGGCGAACTTTCCGGAAATCTCCAGTCCTTGGAAGCCATTAGCAGTCAGGTTCTAGCCAGGCCTAGGTCTCAGAGGTCAGGCGGCCTCTCCCCCCGGGAGGTGCCATCCCTGCACCCAAGTATCTCACAGCGGTCAGGAGCCCAAGGGCGGGGTTCTGTTGGGGCCCGCCCTCATCTGGCGGGAGGGTCAGCAACACCGCATGTATTCAGCAAAGGCATCCCACCAGCCCTGCAGCAGATCCAGGAAGGAATCCTGCTGTAAGTTAAACCAAGAAGCAGCAGTGGACGGCGGGAGCCCCCAAGAAGCTTCTCCACTGGAGAAACCCGATGGATGGACACAATGATCTTCCCGCCCCCACTTCTTGTCACTTTGTGACACTTTATCTTCTTGTTTAGTGAATCTTAGTTTCTGTTTGGCACCAGCTTCTGTCCTCTGGGGAAAGGATGGGACGTGGGGAAGGAATGGAGGGACCGAGAGGGGAAGTCTATTTCCTTGCCAAACACTTTAACTAAAGCGTGGTTGTCAGCACCAAGGGCAGGTGCCAGCTCACCCTCAGGGAGCCACCTCCACACTCGTGGCCTGGTGGCCCTGGGGTCTTTGAGCCCCCGCTGGTGGCAGGCAGGGACGCAGCTGGAGGTGAACACCTGTGGGCTGGCCAGATGGAGGCTCCGGGTGGGCGCTTCTCTCCCACCCTGCCTGAGACGGGCTGACTCACAGGCCTCGGCCCTCAGTCCTGTTTTAAAGAGAAACCAGAAGGCCTGTCAGCCCCACTGTGTCAGCCTCATACTGCCACAGAAGGGACAGGGAACAGTTTCTGCTGTTGCTGGGCTCTCAGTCACACCAGCATCAGGAGTGGGAAACACCCAGCCTGCTGTGTTCCTGGGAGCACCCGAACCCTCCAAAACCTCTCTGTTCCCAGACCCAGCTGCATGGACCCCTGGGCTCAGAGACTGGTGCCTAGACACTAAGACACATGGGGCCAGCACGGCCAGGACAAGGACACTCAGCCTCAAGGAGCCAGCTCCAGCCGGGACTGTGGAGCCACAGAGAGTGGTGCTAAGGTGTCCCCGTCCCCGTCCCCGTCCCCGTCGCTCAGATGCCAGCAGGTCTGCACATGTGTGCTGAACAGACTATCTGGCATTCTGGCCTCCAATATGGCTCTGCCCAGGCCTGTTTCCAGAGCACCATGTTGGCTCAGGTGGGGATGTGAGCCCACAGGTGCAGCACCCAGGGCATCCTCGGAGATGCCCTGTCTACGTGCAGGGCCCCGGCAGCCACTATTACCTTCCTTGTCTGCTGTCCAGGTCCTGGGCTCTGCTCTCCTCGGTCCCCTGTCTGCTGCTGAGGAGCAGGGCCAGGCAGGCCACGGCACAGGAACGGCTATCTCCTTGAGACAGTTCTCCAGGCCCTGCAGCGGGGAGCTTCCCGGTGGGCTTCCTGTGAAGAGCAAGCGTTCGCAGATGAGGGCTGTAGCTCAATCTCTGCGAACCGCAGAAGCCTCCCCTCTTCTGCTGTGTCCAGCGAAGGGGGGTTGTGGGGGTGCTAGGTACAGAGCACTGGACTTGTCAGCCCTGGCTCAGGGGTGGCCCTGCTTTGGCTGCCGTGGAAGAAGCCGGACCTGTCTGGCCACCCACACAGAAGTTCGGTCTGCAGCTGTCATGAGGACACTGGCCACAGATGTGGGTTCTAGTCCTCCTGAGCACACCCAGCTGCCACCACTGTGAGGGACGACACATCCAGTGTGGCCAGCACAGGGGATGGCCCTGGAGATGGAATGTGCTAAGGCTTCCTTCACCACTCACAGCAGGGGAACACCACAGGCCCCCTCGCATCTGGGCCAGGACAGGCCAACACACATGCAGCTTCAACTCAGCAAGAACTAAACATGCCGCAAACATCCTATTTCCAGTGACAGCTACGCGAATAACGGGAACTAGATGGACTGCATCGCTGGAGTGAGGAGAGCCCTTCCTATGGGGCAGACAGTGCTGCCACTCTCTTTCCTGGAGGTGTCTGCTCATGCTTCTGGGCCCAGGCATAGGGCGAGAGAGCAATCCTCAGAACTTCTGAATGTCCATGGGCTGGAAGGGCAGGGTGGAAGGCAGAGGACCTCCGCATGCATTTTCTCCACAGCACATCCGCTGAGTTCTGGGGCAACAGAGGGAGCCGGGAGGTGGCTGGAAGCTTCTGAAAGGCAGTGTGAAATTTCCTGCAGTTTGGGTTACGTAGAAAACAAGCAGGATGCATGTAGCATGCTACCGAATACCATGCTGCTGTTCGAAAGAAGAAACTGGTGCTGGTGGCCAAGGAATATGAACGTATACAAACAGGTCAAAGACAAAGGCTGATGACAAAGACTGGAGGGGACATATATAGATGCTGCCCTCTGTGAGGAGAAGGAGGGCAGTGAACTCACAGCAGTGGCAGGAGGGGCTGGAGGACAGACAAGGGAAGAAGACTTCTTTTTTCCCACATAACCTTTTTAGCTTTTGAATGAAGCTATGTGATTGTATTACCTATGAAGTCAGTTGCATTTTGAGGAAAATGCCTCACACCCAAGGGGTTAATCCACAGTGGGGCTTGGGATTTCAGGCTGCTGTGGATGCTGGCAGGTCCCAGGCCTTTTCTACAGGCCCCACAGGCCTGGCTAGAGCCGTGGCTGCAGCGAGACGCCTGTTCAGGAAATATGTTTGCAGCCAGAACACAGGCAAGCGTGGAGGGACTAGGTCCACAGGACAACTCAGACAAAGAGGACTCGGGTTTTTCGGGTGGGGGAAAGAAGAAGGCCAAGAGGGGATGCTGAGGGTCCCGCGAGAGCCCCAAGTCTGCAGCAATGACTCCACTGGAGTGACCAGGGAAGCACAGGTCACCAAACACACTCCCAAGTGTCTCTGACATGAACCTCACTGTACATTTTCCTAAGCTGGAGGTCAGTCTCATATTACAGGCAATTCTTTGTGGCTAGGGTAAGGAATTCAATGCAAAAGGAAATTGTTATATTTATTTATTTATCAGATGGGGTCTCACTGTCACCCAGGCTGGAGTGCAGTGGTGTGATCATAGTTCACCACAGCCCCAAACGCCACGGCTCAAGTGATCCCTCCGCTTCCTGAGTAGCTGGGACTAAAGGCATGTGCCCCTCCACCGAGATAATTTTTTAAATTTTCTATAGAGATGGTGTCTTACTGTGTTACCCAGGCTGGTCTCAAAACTCCTGGCCTCAACTGATCTTCCTGCCTCAGCCTCCCAAAGTGCTGGTATTACAGGTGTGAGCCACTGTGCCCAGCCCAAAAAGAGACTTTAAAAGAAATCTTAGACATTATCCTGTCCCTCCTGAGACAAGTCACTAAAACGGAGCCCCCTCTCCACCCTCAGCTCCCACAACCCGCCTAAGATAAGTCCCGCCTGTGCTCCTGCCTCAGTATCCCTGGCTCTGCTCCCAGCACTGGCATAGGGGTCTGACCCAGTCAAGCCAGAGAAACCGGGCAGGGGATGTCTTGAGTCCTCTCGGTGAGTCCCCAGGATGAACCCCAGCCTTGGGCTGGCCCAGCTCACCTTTTCCAGGCCGCTGCCCCTGGCTCCCCACAGGGCTCCCAAAATCCAGGTCCCAGTCGGTGCTGCTGGATGAGGAAAAGCTGGTGGGGGTTCCCCGGGGGGCCAGGGGCCGGGAGGGGCCATCTCTCAAACAGCCCTGCAGGCCCAGAGGCAGAACAGGCTCCCTGGTCACTTCTGCAGGGAACAGCACAGTTGTGGTCACTGGGGGGCTCACTGGAGAAGAGACCCCTGGGCCCTGGAGTGCACGGGCACCAGAAGACCCTGTCCTGAGTATCTCCCACTAGGGTTTCCCTATGGTACTGATTAAACTCCTGCGGCATGTTCCCCACAGAAGCCCCATAGTGAGTCTTGTGTGACTGGAGAGTTCTGAGAAGGAAGTAGGGCAGGAAGATCTGCACTGGCTGTCACCAAATGCGAGCAGCTGTTTGGGGGTGAGAATGAAAGGGGACCTAGAGGAGTGAGTGGGCCTGTGCCTCAAGAGGCGGGGAAGACAATGACCCTACAGTCTCAGCACCTGCCTCTGCAGCCCACCCAGGGACACGCCACCCCCCACCCATAGCCACAATCTACCTTCACTGTGTGATCTGTGGGGCTGCAGTTCAGTCCTCTGAGACCCACAGTCTCCTGGCTGGGGGTTCTGTGACCAAGAGGTGGCCGGCGGCTGCGAAGGTGATGGCCTGCTTGGGGGAATGCCCTTCAGACAGGCTTCCAGGGCTTCCAGCGGTGAGCTTGAGGCACCGGCAGCTGGGATGGGAGAGCACCCGGTCACTACCTCCTACACACCCCAACCCTGCCCAACAGGACCGTGGTGGCTGCACCTGATGTGCTTTCTGCGGGGTGGTGAGTCCTGCACCAGGCTCTGGGACCCCCCAGGCAAGAAACCCTTCAGTGGGGAACAGATCTGCTCTCGTACCCCACCCCGCTCCCTGGAAGGCGTGAAGATAGGAGGGGAGTGAGGAGGGACACATGTCAGCAGGGCCAGCTTCTGGGGCCAGGAATCACTGCAAAGTGAAGGTCCAAGGCAAGGGGGCTTGGGCAAGGGCCTGGGCTGAGGAGGACCTGGAGGAAGGGATTCACTGCTTGGGAAGGAAGGCCAGGGGACAGTTCCCTGCTGACAGCTGCTTTCCTGGAGTCTGCAGTAACCTTGCCAGGGACTGACAAGCCCATGGTAAGGACCACCGGAGCAGCCAACCCCAGGCCTCACCTTCAGCCGCTGCCAACCCGAGGACTCACCTTGAGCCTCAGCCAACCCCAGGCCTCACCTTCAGCCTCAGGGCCCCAGCTGGCCCCAGGGACTCCTCTGGTGTCTCTCGTGGCAGAGGGGCTGAGGGACTGCCTGCCAGGCTGACAAGATGCGGGTCCTGGGGAGCTCTGGACCCAGCTGTTCTCCATCTTCACAGAGACCTGGCCACCAGCTCCAGGATCAGGATGGGGAGGGGGGGTCAGGAGGTGTCCAGACCCTGCAGGAAGAGGCCACTAGGAAGCCCAGGATTCAGGCCTGAACTGGCCTTGAGAGTCCCTTGAAGCCTTTATAGGGTTAGGAGGGGCTTCCAAGAGCCCTGTGCCTCCACGGCAGTCACTGGCTTAGACTTCTGTCACTTGTCAATCACCAGCAGAGAGACTGAGTCACACATCTCCTCCCCTACCATGGCCCCTTGGGGTGCCTCCGAGGTTTCTTCCAGGCCTTAAGTCCCTGGACAGCACCAGTCATGTCTTTCCCCATGGCCAGCATGCCTGACTCCACCCAGCTGCCCAGGGCTTTGTTCTGAGAAGTAACAAGCTGAGGTGACATGCACGGAAACATGAACCCATGTGTGGGCTGGGTGGGCATAATTAGGATTTGGGGTTCCCAGCCCTCACACATGTAGCAGGAACCCCAAATTTCAGTTATGCCAACCTGGCTCAAACACACAGGAACCCTAAATCACGATGAGCTGCGTGTCTGCTGGGTTAGAACTCCATCCTCGCTTTCTTGGTCTTGCTCCCTCCCCACTTTCCTTTTGGAACGTCCAGCTCTTCCTCTAAGAGCCAGCCTGAGAATTCTCAAGTGCTGGCCGAGCCCCTCCTACACAGCTCACTCCATTTACACAGTGGGGATCCCTTGCATCTGGCTCCACTCCCTGATAGGCCAGTGTGGGGGCCTGAGTGTCTATGGTGGGGGCCACCTATCGCCCTGCCTGGGGCAGGGTCATGGAGGACGTATGGGGGCATTCCCAGCCCAGTGAGAAGGCTTTACCTCCAGAACCCCTTTTCCAGGCCCCTGGATCCTCCTGTAGTCGTGGGTCCCCCACTCCTGAGGGACTGGGATGCCTGGCCTGGGCCTCGGGAAGCTCCTTCAGACAGTTCAGCAGACCCTGGAGGGGATAGTCCCCTGAAGCTGCCTCTGTCTTCACTAAAGGAAAAAGGAACACGTTTTCACCCGGAGCCCAGTATCCTCAGCCTTCATGACAAACAACAAACAGGGGACAAGTTAGAAGGGCACAGGAACAACTCTGAAGATGAGGAACTTCCAGCGGTTCACTGAGTCTTGTGAGGGCCACTGTCTTCTCTGTGCCTGGGTCCACGCACCCACCAGAACTGGATGGGGCAAAGAGGGAAGGCATAGAAGTCGCCCTGAAGGCAGACATAAGGCATCACTCTGAGGACAAATTGAGGAAAGTGGGCTGTCGGGGTCACTGCTCGAGACCGCTCTGTGGGTCCTAAGCAGAACTTACATCGGAGGAGGATGGAGCTGTACAGTAAGTACATGACTGCAGTTAAGCTCACCACGACCCTGTGTGTGGGAACGGCCAAGGCTCAAGACGTCAGCAGCCTTTCAGGGTCTGACCCGTGCCCTGGCCCCGACACCACGCTGCCCAGAGCCCAAGCCCACCCCATGCATCATGCCTGGCATCAATGCAAAGTGACACATGAGCTCTGCAGCTCTTCCCCTCGGGTCTCAGGTCGGGAGGGGGAAAGGACATGAAGAAACCAGGGCAAAGCCTGCTTCCAAGTTTCCTTTTCCCAGCTAACCAAACGCTGGCCTTAAGAGAGCCACCTGGCTCCGGAAAGGTGACAATGGCAACACAGTAGCGGCCAAGCTGGTAACAATTCCTCAGGGAGACAGTTTGGAGCAGGAGGAATCGCTGCTGAAATGCAAACCAAGCTTCAGAGGCCTTGGCCTGAGACTCCAGCACTCACCTGCCCAGGGTGGGCTCCCCGGCCCCAGGTCTGCTTTGGATGGCCTGGACGTGCCCAGGCTGGGCAGAGGCGGTAGGAAGGCTGGGGATGTCTCGGGGTGCTGGGGCCCAGGCACGAGGATTTCCTTCAGACAGTTGATGAGGCCTTGCAAGGGGCTGTTCCCAGGAGTAATTCCTGTGGCACACACAAGGTTGGCCGAGGTCAGTGCAGTCCTGACAGGGCCCAGGGCTGCAGCAGGCACTCAGGGCTCTGGGCAGCTGAGATTCCCACCCATGAGAATATGTCTGTGGAGCTGCCACCAGGCCAGGACGGGGAGCAGCATGCCCTCCTCGTGTGAACTAAACAGGCCTCCCCTTCGCCATGACCCTCAGGAAAGCCCGCCTCTCACCAGCCTGTGAGGTCCCTCTCTCCTGCCCTCCGTGGCTCTTCCTCCTGCCGGGGCTAAGGGTGGGAGGGCTGGGCTCCCTGCCAGGGGCTCCTGGGCCTTCCTTCCTCGTAAGCCATGGTTTATTGGCAGTTCCTATTGCAGGAGAAGACAGGAGGGCCTTTCTAGCCCCAGCTCCAGACTCCAGGAGTCACCTCAGATCTGGTCCCCGTAGAGGACAGCCCTCTCCAGCTGCCCAAGTCCCTGTTCCAGGAGGGCTGAGGGCCTTTCCCTGGTTCTTTCTGGTTTAACTGTAAACAGCAAGACTGCTGGTTCACTGTGAACACCCGAGACCCTTCCCCAAGCCCAGCCTCCAAATTTGGCTCAGCAAGTGATGCCGGCAACCTGGACATGTAGGCCACAATCTCAGACTCATGCTTCTCAGACCGGGGCACACAGAGCCCCGGAGCAAGTGTGCCCAACAACCCCTGGACACCAGATGAAACCACAGCTCAATGGGGTATGTTTCCAGGGAGTGACAAAGCCACACAGAAACCACCATGAAAAAGTCAGAGCTGCCCTCTCGTCAGCTATGCCCATGTGCTCTGAGGGCACATGGCCTGGCCATGAGGAACCGCAGGTGACTCTGCCTCCCCGCCTGTGACAATTTTATTCCATTTTAATTTGAATTATTTTTCATAAAAAGTTAGACAAATGCAAAATTTGTGAGAAGTTTTAAAAATAAAACGTGACCCCAGAGAAATCCAAGTAGCTCCCCTTGCCCTGCTCTGCTGATAGGGTTGCTGTGATGAGATGATCTGAGGTCAGGCCAGTGCACACAAGCATGCGACTGTTGCCTGCCGCGGGTCTGCGTGCTAGAAACTGCCGGAGCTTTCTGTGTACAAAGTACTCGGAGATCGGGGCGGGGTGAGAGCCTCCCAGGGACCGGGCATCACGCCTCTTCTTTGGTGTTTACACCAGAGGCTAAACACATCCTGCTCCCTGGGGTACTTTGTCAACAAGAGAATGCAGCAACAGAGGAACTGAGTCTTAGAAAAAAGTGAAGAGGGCATAGGCTCCAGGTCCCCTGATGCCATGCTCAGGGCTCTTGAAATGCTGGTTGTCCCTGTCCCTGCTGTGTCAGACTCACTGGTAGGGAGAGGACTTCCCTGGACCGCATCACCAGGTGGGCCACTGGAGCACGAGCTGTCAGTGGGTGTGGTGGCCAGGCGGGACTGGCTGGCAGGGCCGTCCGGAAGGCAGTTGAGCAGGCCTCGGAGAGGGCAAGGCTCCCTTGCCACAGCTGCTATCAGGAAAGAGGGAGAAGACAACAGCTGGTAAGATGTCCCTAACATGGTCACACTGTCACATTCTGGGTCCCTTCCTTGCCATGTGCTGTTAACAATGACCAGGATGTCAGCCATCTATGTGTTGTCATCATTGGGCTCTGAGTAGGGCCACAGGGCATGGGGGGTGACAAAGCCACACAGAAACCACCATGAAAAAGTCAGAGCTGCCCTCTCGACAGCTATGCCCATGTGCTCCAAGGGCAGCACACGGCCTGGCCATGAGGAAAAGCAGGTGACTCTGCCTCCCCGCCTGTACCTGGGAGCCCACACACTGTGCAGTGCCATGGACTTGTGCTTCATCGTGGGGAGTGCAGAGGAGGCTGTGTGTACTGCCTCCGCTATCTGACTTACCCTCGGGGCTTGCTTGCTCTTCATCCAGGCTGGCTCCCTGGCTCTCACTCTTGGGGCTGTCCATGGCACCCTTGACTTCCCCAAACAAGAACTCTGGGATCTCTTTCACCAGCTGTACCAGGGCGGTGAGGTGCAGGCTGTGCCGGGGCTGTCCCTCTGTGGAGAGACCACAGTGACTCCCGCGCCCCTGCGGCTGCTCAGCACTCACACCTATGTGTGTGTTTCACAGCCAGCATCCCACATAATCCTCCCAGCCACAGGAGGAGTAGCCAGAGGAGACACCATGTCTCGTGAGATGTCGAGGACTTGGGCTCAGGCCAGGCGCCCTGGCCAAGGGAAAGCCAGGGCACGGGGCCAGGGCCTGGGTAACAGGGCTCTTCTGTTCTCTGTTACTCGTTAATCTCTCTGCCTCCCAGGGGGATGCCCAGGCGGGCTGCTTCCACACCGCTCCCACCATCTGGGCTCTCTGCCTTTCCCGGCACCCCCTAAATGCCCAGCCTCACCCAATCTGAGCCAGTGGAGCACATCCACCATCTGAGGTCTTGGGAAGTGAGCCTTGTGGCAGGACTTTTGGGAGCTGTGGGCAGGTTCTGCAGGGGTGGCTGGGATAAGGCTTCAGGGTGGTGGCAGGTAGGAGGCCTGAGGCAAGAGGCACTTTCCAGGGTGACCCCAGGCTTACTCTGAGTGCTTCTCTGCATGACAGCCTTCCGGCCCAGAGGCATGAGGGGTAGAAGTCCAGAAGGTTGCGGTAGGGGAGCCAGGGAGGTGGGAGGCTGAACTGGGCAGGCTGAGGTTGTGTACTGCCAGGGGCTGAGGACCTGTGTGTGGGAGGAGAAGTCTGACAGATAACTTACCCTGGAGACCTCCGCAACCAGCAGGCTCCTGCCCCTCATCAGTGTGGCTTCCTCCCCCAACAGCTCCTCCAGGCTCTGGGGGTGACAGGAAAGCAGAGAGGGGGAGCAGCTCAGCTGTCCCTGGGAAAGAAGAGGGAACTGTGGCCCTGGAAATGGAGTGACCCCGCCTTGCACACGGCCACGGAGCAGCCCAGGCCACTGCGTGTCTGTGCACATTCACATGATCACTTACACTCAAAGAACCACAGAGTGGCCGGAACCTCAGAGGCCACCGCATACCCCCACCTAATTGTACGTAGAACCCAGCCCAGGGATGCAGAACAGCAGCAGCGTGAACAATCCCCAAGTGGAAAGACTAAGGCTGCCGCGTCCCACGGACCGTGGCCTCCCTGCCACCGCCCACCCGCTCCTGCCACATGTGCTGCTGCCTCCCGTCCTTACCCACAGACACCAGCGTCTCGTAGTTCTCCCGCATCACGTCTCGGTAGAACTCCCTCTGCCCCTCCTCCAGGAGCCGCCACTCCTCCTCCGAGAACCGCACGGCCAAGTCCTTGAAGGTGATGGACACCTGCAGGCACAGTCTCCGGGGGGGTTGGTTGTTCCATCCCAGGGGAGCCAGCCTAGCTGTCCCTGCACCTAGCGACCCTGCCCGGGCCTCCAGGTGCATGCTGGGGAGCAGGAGAATAGCCAGAGCCCGGGGCAGGGTCTGACACGTAGGAATCCCCTCAGGAGACAGTGCTGGGGGTGAGCTGCGTCCCTGTAGACACACTCTGAAGTCCTAACCCCTATGCCTGTAAATAGGACCTTATTTAGAAACAGGGTCACTGCAGTGGGAATTAGTTAAGACTAGGTCATACTCCTAAGTAGGGGGTCCCTTAGTCCAGTATGACTCATATCCTTATCAGAAGAGACACAGAGACAGACACACGGGGAGAAGAAGGCTGTGTGAAGACAGGCAGAGACTGCAGTGATGCCGCCACAAGTCAAGGAATGCCCAGGGCCACCAGAAGCCACGAGAGGCAAGAAGGATCCTGCCCAGAGCCTTGCGAGGGAGTGTGGCCCTGCCCACACTGTGACGTGGGGGCTCCAGGCCTGCAGAGCTATCAAAGAATACGCTGCATTGTTCACCTAGTTTGTGTGCGGGTTAGAGAAGTGCTCAGAAGAAACCTGGGGCCGCCCTTGGAAGCTTTGGGTCACCGGGGTCTGCTACACTCTGTATCCCATCTCCTGGTCTCTGTACTCACCTCCTCCTACCCTGTGGCTTTTTAAAATAACAGGACCATTTTTGTCTAAGTTTCTTTAAAAATGGTCCTTCAGTGGACTTTAACGTGGCCATCAGACACTAGAAAATGACCAGTATCAATAAGCTTGAATTTAAGATTATGGCAAAAATTAACTGTGCAAATTAAGCAAACAGGAGGTAAATTATGGGAAGGGTCCTTCATGTTGAGAAATGAATGTGAAACTATTTATTTATAAGAATGAATTCTTGAAGAAAATGAAAATGCTCCTAATAAAGCAAGGATAATTCACCACTTGTTTCATCTGTTCAGGGCAGTGATTTTAATTAATTAATAAAGACAGGATATTACTATGTTGCCCAGGCTGGTCTTGAATTCCTAGGCTCAAGTGGTCCTCCCACACTGGTCTTCCAAAGTTCTGGGATTGCAGGCGTGAGGCACCACGCCCGTCAAAGTCAGCGTTTCTAAAAACCGTCCCGGGTCAGGTGTGGTGGCTTCTGGCCTATATGGTGAAACCCCATTTCTACTAATAATATAAAAATTAGCCAGGCGTGGTGGTGGGCGCCAGCAATCCCAGCTACTTGGGGGGCTGAGGCAGGAGAATCACTAGAACCTGGGAGGCATAGGTTGCAGTGAGCCGAGATCATGCCATTGCACTCCAGCCTCTATCTCAAAAAACAAAACAAAACAAAACCATCCCTGTTCCATGCAGTCACACCTACCAGTGCAAGGGGCAGTCCCTCCTGTGACTGCCTGCCTGCGGCCCAGAGGCCCGTGGGCAGTGAGATCCCATGGCCTTCACCTCCTGCCTTGATGTGCAGACTCTCCCTGAGCAAACCTCTGTGGCTCTGACCCAGGTATGGTCACTCTCTCTCAGGAACAGTCTCAGACACCCTCCAAAACTTTTCTCAAAGAGTCATTTACATTTCTTCCTGGCATCTTGGAACAGAGAAAATATAGCCAACACCAGGGTCTATGCAGAAGAGCTCACAGAGCAGCTCTAGACCACTGTCCTTAGGAAGGCAAGGCCTGCTTGGCAGGAGGGCCCCGGGCTGGCTTCTAGGCACTTAGGTGCCAGGAGGCTTCCCACTATTTCCTAAATGATGGGAGTGGCTCAAGAGGCCTAGATTGCGCAAACAACCTGGTGCGTGCCACACCCCTGCCTTCCTTCTGGGAGTCTGGAATTTTGGTTCATGCCAGGCAGAGAGCTCCCACATGACATTTAGGTGGCTCAACACAGAGCTGGCAAGGCAGGTCTGAGCCCTAGGTAAGAACACGACACCAGCTGTGCTGGTTCCATTGGTACCACTGCTGGCCTGATGTGGCTGTTAAGAAGTTCTGGACCCAGAGGATGGGGCAGAGCATGGTGACTGGGGCTTGGCCTCAGGAGCCAGGCTGCCAGAATTCCAATCCCTGCCTTGTTTCATATTAGTTATGAGACCTCAGTCAAACCTAACCCATCTGGGTCTCAGTGAACTCACCTGTAATATCAGGATCATAACAACCTACCTCATAGAGATGTTGTGAAGACAAAACAAATATGGGAAGAGTGCCTGGAACCAATGCAGGGACTATTAACACTAAGTGCTATGATTAGTAATACTGTAACCAGGCCTGTCTGCTGACGCCCACTTGCAGGTCTGCCCCGCCAGCTGAGCTCTTCCACACACTGCTCCTGACCACCGGTGCCTCTTGCTCCAGGCTAAATATATCCCCGCTCTTCCAGGAATCCTAAGAGATGCTTTCCAGGCCTCTCACCATCTCAGCCTCAAGGCAAGCTGTTTTGAGACCAAATTCTTATAAAATGCGAATGAGAACTGACTGTGGCCAGGGTAGGCGCTTCCGCCAGTGGCCTCCCTCTGCCCCAAAAAAGCAAAGGAAGAGTGAGGGTTTTGTATGTGAAGGAGAAAGCAAGTGTAAGTGTGCAAATACTGGGCCACAATACTCGTCTTTGAGAGGAGGAAGGCCACCATTGGCTGGCTATGCCCACACACTACCAGACTTCCTCCTGAGGCCTCAGTTCACCTCTGTTCTCCAACCAATAGAGAAAAGCTTTCTGGGCTGATCCAGGGGGCTGTAACCCGGCAGCCTCCTAGCTCATGGTTGCACACCGGTCCTCCTAACACAGCCTTCCACTGTGTCACTAGCCCAGCACAAAAACTGCAGCTTCAGTGGCTGCTGGACCTGTCCCTCTCTCAGGGTCCTCCCCAGCCCACACCTGCTCTCCCAGTGGGTATCAGGCTCCGGCTCCCAGATCAGACCCTGGCCCAGGACCCCTCAACCTGGAGGCTGTGCTCACATCCCCCTGGGCTTCTGGGAGTCCTCCTTGCTCCCCTCCACCTGACTGTAACCTACCACTCCCCAAGGTCACTCCTGGCCACCTTTTCCGTGAAGCTATGTGGCGTGCAGATATTCCCCTCCCCAAACATCAGATCTGAAAGGTCAGTGGCCCAAACTCACCATTTTACAGAACAGGAAACTGTGGTATGTGGTATGGGGAGGCCTTAGGATGGGGCCACGGGCATGTCTCAGCCAGGGTGTCCCTGGGCTACTTAACTGTGCAGCCAGCCCTGAAAAGGACACTTGACTGTCCCTGCCCAACAACATCCAATTTGCCTGGCCTCTCCCTTCTCCCCAAATGCTTGGGAGCACTAATGATGCCAAGGGCCTGGCACAGTGTATGCTCTGCCTAGTCACACACTACCCCCCATCCATGGTGACCTCAGACTGGCCGAAGTTCAGGAGCCACCATGGTCGCAGAACTGGCTCCAGGTGTCCATCCAGAAAGACGTGCAGCAGCTCCCCGCTGGTATCAGCACCAGAGTTTCCTGGCATCGTTACAGCCCACACACAACCCAGCCCAAACGGTGCCCAGGCTGTCACAGCCTGGGGCTCTCCCTTCAGCTCTCGGATCTAAACATCTTACCTGGAGGCTGTCCAGGACAAAACTTGGGGCTCGTTCTATCTTCTGTTTCTCCCCATTTCCACGTTCCCATCCCCCCGGGATCCAGGATTCCACCAAGAATAGAAGTATGAGATTTACTCTCTCCCTCCAAGGCCTTCCTGCCCACCCTACCGGGATAACTTGTAATGACAGAAGCCACGCCGAGGGGGTTTCCCCAGGTGGATACTGGGACGTGGGTACCCGGGGGCGGAGAGCTGGCGGGAGGTTGTCCGAGGACCTGAACTTCCCGGCACGAATCCCCGAGCATTAGGCCTGCCCTGCGCCGCCCAGCCCATCCCGAAGTTGGGGGGTCCCAGCTCTTTCCCGCCTAGCGGCCATCGGGGCCGCACTGCGCCGAGGGGTCCGCGCGTCCGCCTGCCTTACCTTGCGCGCCATCCCCGGGCTCAGCCTCCCCGCCACTCCTCGGTTTCCGGCGCGGCGCCAGCCGCGGGTGCGCGCGACCCTCGTAGGCGGCGGCCCGGGTCGGTGCAGGAGGAGGCGGGGCCCTGGGCCGCGGGGGAGGGGCGGGAATGAGCGCGCCCGGGCCCGCCCCCAGCCTCGTTGAGGCCGCCCCGCGCGCCTCGCATCCTTGGGTGGGTGGTCACGTTTCAGCCCTGAGTCCCCAGCCGCGGCGGCCCGGCCGGCGTAGGAGCGGACTACACTTCCCAGAATGCGCCGCGGCACCGGCCCGGAAGCGGGGGGCGGGGACAGGAGCGGGGAGGGAAACGAGGGGTGGGGCGGACCCCGCTGCGGCCTAGTCCCTACCCCTGCCCTTATCCCCGCCCACAGCTGCGAGCAGAGGTTGGGCGCCAAGACCCGCCGGGCCGGCGGTGGGCGTGCAAGTCCACTGGTGAGCGCCGCGCAGCACCCATTCTTTCCCGCAGCCAGCACTGAGCGCATCCCATGTGCCAGGGGCTGATGCTGGGGATGAAAAGGAACCCGTCTTTCCCAGAGGCTGCGGTCCAGGAAACCCGACCCGGAGTGGAAGGGGTCGAGGGTCCGTCCGGGCCAGGCCGCCGCGCGTCCTCAGATCTGTCGCCGGCGCCCCTGCTCGCCACAGCCGTGACCTACCTGCGTGTCACATTTTGCGTGCCTGTTTGCTGGTGTGGTAAACCCAGTTATTCCCGGCACGTAGTAGGCCTCAAATAAACGTGTGATGCTGGAAGGAAGCGGGTCCCACCCTCCTCCGCCTCCCCCTGCATTTCCCGAACTCTGAAGGCCTGCTCCGGGCGGACGTGGCGAGAGCTGGGCGCTCAGCGGGTGCGGGCGAGGCGCAGCGAGTCTGGTTTTCCTGTCTGGAGAAGGACCCCGTCATTTTTATAGAAGGTTCCGGGAAGGGGGCCTGCGGGGCTGAGCCTGCTGTGCCAAGCAGAAGCTTGGAGGGGAAGGGGAGGCTGGGGTCCCGAGCAGAGGAGACGCTGCTCTAGGTTTGGAAGCCGGTCCAGACCCTGCGGCCCACGCTCTGCCTAGGCAATATCCGAGAAAAGGAAAGGGAATTCCCAGCTCAGCCGCGCCGGCTGTGATCACCTCCTAGAATTCTGGGGTACGATGCTGACACCCCTTGACCCGGTCTCCGAGGAAAGGCGCACGCCCACCCGGGCAAAGCCTCCTCAGTCATACCCGAGACACCTTAGACACAGGACCGGCATGTGTACTGAACAAGGACTTGGGGATATCACCAGGGCCCCACCTCGCGAAAAGGGAAAACTTAAAAGTCCAACATCTCATCTCAAGAGCCCTACAGGCCACAGCCCTCAGAGTAAGTCCCCGCCAGGGATTTTGGCCGGGTCCCACCTCCGTGCCGAAGTGAGGCGGGCCCCTCACAGTAATGTGTTCCTGCTCCCAGCTCCTTTCCACCGCCCACCCTCTGGCCCTTGATCCCTAAACTTTAAAATCCCCTAAACCAGGGGTCCCCAACCTTTTGGGCCCTGGCCCAGTTTTGTGGAAGGGAATTTTTGCATGGACAGGGAGAGGGGTGGTTTTGGGACGAAACTGTTACACGTCAGATCACCAGGCATTAGATTCTCCTGAGGAGTGCTCACCCTGCATCCCACATTCACGACAGGGTTCTGGCTCCTACTAGAATCCGGCACCTGCTGATCTGACAGGAGGCTGATCTCAGAGATAATGCGAGCCATGGGGAGCCGCTGTCGCTACAGATGAAGTTTCTCCTGGCTTGCCCGCCCCTCACTTCCTGCTGGGCTGCCCAGCTCCTAACAGGCCAGGACGGGTACTGGTCCACAGCCTGCGGATTGGGGACCCCTGCCTTAAATACTTTCATAAAGAAATCTCCATTCAAGAAAGATACACCTTTTCACGTGTGCAGATTCTTGGTACCTCTTTGATTCAAACTTCCACTTCCTGGCTAGGCTTCCTGCCCCGTTTGTGGACCATCAGTCACTAAAAGCCG